TTTGCATATTTATTTTAGCATGCACTAGATTTATTTAAAAATAGCATCACCAGCACTGGAAACAGCCCACTTGCTTTTCATCTAGATCTTTGCATTGAATCAGTGAATCCAAAATTAAACAAGGTTAGGTGAACTAAATCTATACAAGGACCTATTTGCTGATCAATACAGAAATGAAAGCTGGGACTTCTTTACCATGTGAAATATGAGGACTTATGAGAGAGATATTGCTTTTGTTATTACATTAAAAAAAAAATCAGATTTAATCTCCACACATTAAAAAAAATATTTGTTGAAGAGATGCTTTGCCCTAAATAATTTATGCTGGTTGTATAGTACCCAGAAGAGAGAAGTTTCCCTTCTTCCATTCCTAATGAGATGGAAAAAGACCTCAAATATTTTTCTTGGATTCAGTTTCATCGGTGCACGGAGCTGAAACTCTGCCTGCACCTGAGAGCTGGGCTCCTCCGACACAAAGAGAACCACAGTGTGCTGCTCCAGGACGGAGAGGGACTCCAGCATATCTGGGCCAAACCCACAACCCTGCAGGGAGCACCGAGCCTCGAGGTGTAGTGGACAGTGATGGGGACTGAGGAGCCAGCACCCATGGGACAGAGGGGAGCAGCCAACCCAGCATGGCCACAGTGGTGTGCCATGGGGCTGGGCAGCAGGCATTTGGGAAAAAGGTGGTCAGACTTTTAGCCCACTTTGGGGACAACACCTGGGGCTTGCACAGGGAGCGGTGCCATGCCCACCTGGGTCCCTTTCCCACAAGCACACTGCAAGAACCGATCCATCAAGTGCTGTACCTGTTTTGCTCTGAATAAATCTGCATATCAGACGCTTCCATGAATGAAAAATGCATGCACTGGTAAATCAGAGGTGAAATAACACATCAGTTGTCAGCGCTTTTTTTTTTTCCCCCAGGAGTTTCATTAAAAAAGACACATCATCTGATAAAGGTAATAACGAGAGCAATCCTCAGCCAGCACTGCTTCAGCAGGGTGTCCATGGGGTCCCACGTCCCTCTTTTGGGGGACCTACCTGGGTGCCAAGAGGACAGGTGACAGCAGTGTTTCTCCCCATGCTGTTCCCATACCACCAGCATTCAGGTTAGCAGCAACACATGGACACGAGCACGCAGCAAAGAGGCAACAGCTGCTTCTCACTGGCCCAGATTAGGATTTTAATTAAGGAAAAGATTTGGGGGAATAAGGGGGAAAATAATTCTGAAAGCTTGAATTAAAGAAGTTCAGGGTGAGGCAGGATGATGGGGAGGGATGCATCCTGCTGTGGCTGGGGAGGGTGAGCTCTGACCCCATTGGGACACTCAGTGTTGAGGGGATGGGGCAGCCTCTGTGCACGCCTCAGATTGAGCTGCTGCAGACCCCCACTGAGACCCAAAGGCAGAGAGAGTGTGAGCTCCCATCTGGTTAAAAATACATCAAAAGCCAAATTCCTATTGATTTGGCTCTGATGTATGGCATAGTGCAACTGGGGCTGGTGAGGGTTCCTATGGTACATGATGCAGTGGGTGCTGGAGCTAGTGGAAAGCTTTGCTTCCATGCTGCATTCCAGAGCAGCAGTGGGGCCAGGGTGGGTGCTGTGCCCAGGATGGGGGCACCCATTGCAGTAGGGGTTAATGCTGGTTCAATAAGAGCCCCCAGAGAAGCAGAAATGATCAATAATGCTGGGTGTGAAATGCCATATCAAAGCCACATGGGGTTGGTTGGTAGTGGGGCTGTAAATGCTGCAAGGAGGAAGTGCTGCCTGGTGAGTTGTCTTTGCTGTGTTTTGTTTGGAAATGTGTGTTTCTGCTCATAGCAGGGTTTGCAGCACTTCTCAGCAGAAGCTCTGCTCTGAGCACACACTCAGAGAGCAACAACGTGCCATTAACCTGAGCTTTTGCTCTGCTTCTTTGATAGGAAGGTGTGAAAGGAGCACAGCTGAACCCAAACCCTGCCACAAAGCTTGGGCACCTGTGTCAGGAACACAGCTGGACAAAACTCTTGCAGCACAAAGACACCACAAAATGTGTTTCCAAAAGACAAGAGCCAACCTTCATCAGAAGCCACAGCCAGAGGAGAGAGGTTTGGACACCATCCTGATACACAGAACTGGGGTTGCATTCTTGGATGTGTGAGATGCAACCATGTGCCCAGGGCTGGGAGTTCTCTGTCACCAGTAAATGAGGTTTAGGGGAGAAAAGTGCCACGTCAGTCCCACAGGAGCCCTCAGCAGGCCATCACCCCCTGCTTGCAACTCAAACCTCTGGTGTGCACGCAGAAAGCTGGTGGGTTTCAGGACCCAAATAAAGCCAGGGAGAAGATTCTGGTGCTGCTGTTTTAAAGCAATTTTCCTTTTCTGAGGCACATTTGCCATTGCACAGCTCCAGCTCATTCCTCAACTCCAAGACCATGCAAGACCTGTTGCAAGTAGAAATGCTGCACAGGGGCTTTGGTGAGGGTCAGTGCAACCCAGGGAATTCCAAACCTGTTGCATCACTCCTCTGAGCATTGCACACCTCCAACTCAGGCTGCAGCTTTCATCTCAAGCAATCTCATACAAAATCTCATTTTGCATAAGAAGAAAGGAATACGTCACTCTAGAAGTGATCTCATCATCCCTGAGCCAGGAGTTATACTGAGCAAAGCCAAGCTGCTATCGAGGTAACTGCTTTGGTTTCATCAAGGTTCCCACCTCCTCCACCCCAGAGCAGCTCCGAGATGTAAATCAAGCACAAAAGCCACCTGGGCTCCTCGGCAGCACTCTGCCCACGTGCCTGGAAGGCAGCAGCCGGTGCCAGCGCCGCGTGGGGAGCGCAGAAAGGGTAAGGCAGAGTGCAAGGGGCCAGGAGCACTGCGTGGGGCTGGGCAGCCCTGGGCAAAACTGGAGGGTCTTCTGTGGGAGGTGACCTCCGTGGGGACCCCAGCACCCCCCTGATCTGCTTGCTTCAATCCTCGATATTTTCAGGCTTTGCACTGCTCTCCTCCTCCAGCCCCCACGTTTCCCCCACCTCTGCAAAAGCAGCAGGAATGTGGAGCCAAGAGGAGGGCAGCGCCTGCTGGGCAGGGTGGGAGCTTCCACCCGACTTCTCCTTATCCTTTCTTTGGGGTCCTGTGCAGCAAGCCACCCTGGTTTCCCAGCACCCCAACATGGGGGATTTGCTGTTGACCCCACTGTAAGTCCCAGGGCATGCAGCAGAAAGCAGCTGCAGAAATGTACAGGATTTGGGCCCACTGCCCGTGCGTGGGCTGGGCTTGCAAACCAGATGGAGAGAGGAGGGTTGGAGGTACTTCACCCAAGACAGGGGTGAAAATAGTGCAAAACTTGTAAACTCATATTTATATAATGGCCAATTATCAGGGAGACCACCCGGATGTCCATGGTTAAACCAAAGCTCTGCTCACCCCAAAACAAAGCACCCACATTCTGCATACAGAGCAGTACCAAGTGATGCATCCACGGCAGCTCCCATGGGCAGCACTGAACTTCCTAGCCCCCATGCACTTCACTTTGAGGCCATTCCTCCTCGATGGGCTGCACCGGGCACCCCAGGGGCCAACTGGGATGATTTCAGGGCTGCTCAGCTGCCTGGCTGGGGGTGGGGAGGGTAATCCATATTGCTGAGGTCTCATTGGTATTCTGCAGTTTCAGCTCATTAGCCCTTAGGTGCTACCAGAGCTGGAGCATTGGAAGTTTCTGGGCTGAGACAGCTATTAGGGGAGGATGGAACGCATCTCACACAACCCAATGCCCTGCACTGATTTATGCTATCGATCTTGAAGGTGCCCACGTGCTGCCTGAACCTAAAAAAACCCAACCCTGCCCTACATACAGCCCCAGCCACCTTCAGAAAAGAATAAAAGAAAGAAAAACCAAGCAAAATAAATAACCCAGAGAACTCCCTGCGATTTGCTCTCCAGGAGCACCACCAGCTCCAGCTCCCAGTATGACCAGTGAGGGCTGATGGGGGGACTGGGCGCCCATCACAGCCAGCTGAGCACAGGGCAGGGCTGGATGCCACCCCCTGGTGCCACGTCTGCTCTCCTGGGCTGGCTGAGTTGTGATGAGTTGTGCTATCTGCATTGAGGGGTTGTCCTGCTTTGGGCACTGCCTGCTTGCTCCCCACCATGTGCCTGCAGGTAAGTGTGCCGGCAGAAATAACCTCTTCATGCTTGTATTTGAGCCAATTTGGGGGGGGCCGGG